CGTTCGCAGGACTGATCTACCGGGGTGTTACTTTTGAGAAGTACCGTGACGAGCTCCGAGAATCTTATTGTTAATGGTAGTCGGTTCCATGCGAACGTATACTTGCATAGGAAAATGCTACCTCGTATACTGCATTCGACACATGTTAGAATGAAGAAGCATGGTTTACTGAGCAAGGGATATCGACGAGTAATGGTCGTTTGAGTGATTACTGCTTACTGGTTGGAAGCAGAAAGAAGAGGTCAATCTGTGTAGCTGCACCTGATGTCATATAGGGACAAAGCCCCTTTACGTTGGGGTGCTCAATATATTTTATATCGGCAAACTATTAGTCCAGGAATTTCTTAAATTCCATGGTTATCAGCGTTGGAGATTTTAGGATTTGAAACAAAACAACGAAGTTATCAATCTGCGGCGCACCCACAAAGGATTCCGCTGAAACTGTTTGCACTTTTACGGCGATTTAGTGGGAAAGGGGCGATAGTTGTACCGTAAAAGAAGGGTGGTCCTATTCAGCTGCACCTCTGTCCAATTTCTTCGCAATGCATAACACTATGGAGCAGTATTCTAAAAGGGGGTGTACACGAAGCTTGTAAAGTGTGACTTTAAAACCTGCCAAGGACGTCGCTCTACAGATGCATCCGACTAATGAACTAGCAGTTGCGGTGCTGTAGCTCACTTGTTCTTCAAACTTAAGTGACATGGAGTAGCGCACTCCGTTCTGTCAATGCTGTGCAGTTGCCTAGTAAATTACCACTCAGGGTCAGCACGTTTGGGGATATGTAGCATTTGTAGCACATGACACCGCATTCTTCCGGCGTAAGTTCCCGATTTCAGGTTTCGCTACAGCTATCCAATGCGGTGTGGTCACTATGGGTATCAGTGCGACCGTACGATATATCCGACAGGTTGAAGGAGATAAATAAATAATTAAATGGTTTATCCTCCACGGGGCGAGGCACGCAGATGGGTATAACAGGTATACGCGTATAGCAATGGTTCAGGGGTATTATTGAAAAAGGTAGGAATGAAGATGGCCTCCGATTTTACACATAGACAAATGTCGTATAGTCACGACATCGAACTCGGAGATAAGACGGGTGCTCGGAAAAATTAGAGACAACTATGTCGACAAAGCCAGCGTTAGGTAAGGTTTTGATATGCGAACATATCCGTGCATGTTAAGTGTAATAATTTGGTATAATTGTTTCTGGGTGAAGAATCAGTGTGCCACGCCAGCTATAGCTGGCGTAGCACACGGGATATATGTGGCACTGGATGCTCGATGATAGCGAAATGAATTGCCTTTTGGTGCTCACAAAGTCATACAGATACCAGAAGGCACGTAGCTGAGGCGCTGCGTCGCGCTTTGTGATTTGGTGTTCCCAAGTTACTAACAGATGATTGCTAAGTACGCTTAGTAAAGGAACTCTAGAGCTAAATTTCCACGAGCCTTAGCATAAAAGCAAGACGAATTCACGAAGAAAAGTACGATTGAGCATCGATGCAAACGACTGCAGCGGCGCTGAGTCGCGCAATGTGTTTCAGTGACCTTGGTTAACTAGAAGGTAGCAACTATGCTTGACAACGTATTGGGATGCGGTTAGCGGGACTGGATATCCGGTGCTGGCGAAAAGAATAGGCATTTAACTAAATAAATAATTTATTCTCGAATACTTCGAGACACAATAAATCTGACATGGTCAAGCCGCTACAAGCGACATTTTTGCAACAGTGACGTTGCTTTGTACGAAATGCGCTGTCCGCACAATATATATATATATATATATATATATATATATATATATATATGGTAGTTAAGGACTGATGCGCTGGTCAGTAAAGAAATCGTTCATGATGTGGCGAAAGTCTGGGATCAAAAATGTGTGAAAGTGTAAACACGTAGAGTGGAGAAGTAAGGTAGAAACAAGGAAGTGCCATTTTAGTGTACATATCCTAAATATACTGAAATGATATGAAATATCGCTGGGATTAACTTGCCAAAGTCCGTTTGTGTGTGGTGATAAAGCCATGTAGATATCCGAAGCTACTAAGCTAAGGAGCTACTCCATGCTGCGTGCTAAATTGCTTCCTTATTGCTAGCAGACGAGTGCTGAAGCATAGTGAATAAAGGAAAGCTTCAGCAATACCTCTACGACCCTTCACAGAAAATCAATAGACTAATTCATGGAGAAGAGCGTACGTGAGCATGGATGCGAACGATGCAAATGCGTTGGGTTACGCAACGTGATTCGTTGGTCCTGGTTAATTAGAAGATAGTAACTGCCTGTCGAAGAAATAGGTAGCTCCAGTTCTGATGGAGTAAGGAAAGTTGTAGGTGGGACTTGATGTGTAATGATGGCAAAATGAATAGACATTTTTGGTGATAATGCCACGTCGACGTCATAAGTCGTTAGTGTACTTTTCCGAAAGCAGAAAGGCTTTAGTGTACCCGCTAACCAAGACCGCAGAAAAAGAGACTTCGATGTATCCGCTGCGGCATTCCCCATTGCTCAATGATCCTTTTATCCGCTAGGAACACGAAACAGCGCCACAGGCACCATCAGTATGTTCAATTCACGTAACTTAGCCACGATTAAATTTCACGCTACTGACAAACTCATTAGTAGTATTTATTAAGATGCATTTGTATATTTACATGTTCAAATGTGGCGGTAGCATCAGTCCTCACTATCCATTGACCTACACGTTACTGCCGTGCCGAGGACAGGGTAGCCCCTCACCACTGCTGACGATTCCCTTAAGGAGGAATCGCGCGTGCATTTTCGGGGGTGTGACGGCTGTCTGAGTGAGTTTAGGTGTGACGAATTTCTACCTATACCATTCAACTCCACCTACTACTCCGCAGTAATAACAAAATCCCCTACTCATGAGTACATCAAAATATATTCTCGCTAACATTTTCTAAATGCAATGTCCTACACAGCTACTGTTAGTTGACATCGTGTATTCGGGGCCAACCCTGTCCTCAACAACATTGATAACTTGCATAGCAGTGGAGGATAAGACGCGCTACATCGCAGTTAGCTTGTAAATCATGACGATCCGAAGCTGTCGCCCATGACCCAGTGGCATAAGCTGCTGACTGGCAGTTAAAGTCGCTGGTAGTCATATAATCGAATCCTGATGGATGCGCACTATTAGCCAAGCCGGACAGGCTGACTCTGCAATCTAGCGCATTTCCTGACATGTGGATGACTGGATGAATCATAAATTTGACTGCGAATAAACTTATTTATATACATGCCAAAATCTCCTACTTAAGAGTATATCAAAATATATCCGCCATAACGACTTATAAATTTTACGTTGTACAAAGCTACTGTTGTTGGACGTCGTTTATTCGGGGCCAACCCTGCTCTCTGCAAGGTTTATAATTTGCATGGCAGTGGAATATAAAACGCGCAACATAGCAGTTAGCTTGTAAATCATGACGGTCCCAAGCTGTCCTCCTTGGCCCAGTGGCATAAGCTGCTGTCTGGTGGTTCAAGCCGCTGGTGGTCATGGAATCGATTCCTTACGTAGAATGGTTTTCCCTCCAGTTTCTTTTTGTTACTTTATTACTATTCATTTCATGACAACCAAGCCTATGTCGTCGCTGCATGCAGACCCAAAGCAAGATTAGGGTGCAAATCTGCAGCAACCCCAAGAGAGAGAGGAATGGCAAGAATATCAATGGGCTTCAGAGAAGATCGCCTACCACGCCGTCAGAGAAATGT